TAAGAAAATAATTAAAATTAAGAATAAACTCATTACAAACCAAAGAGTTTTAAACATAATAAATTTTTATATTTAAATTTAAGTTATTATTTAGTCTTCGATTTCAAAAATTTCTTTAAAAACTTTATTTACTTTATCACCAGAATCAATAGATTCTAATGGATCTTTTCTTAATCTGTGTCTTAAGCATAATGTTATTACTTTTCCAATGTCACTAACAGTAACTTTGTCACGACAATCGTAAGCTGCGTAAGCTTTTGCTGCTCGATTAGTCACAATATCACCTCGTAAACCATCAACATCTAACCGACTACAAACTTCTGAAATTTTAATTCGTAAGTCATAATCTAATTCAACCGAAGGTAATAATTTTTGAGCCGCAACAATTTTATCTCTTAATGCTTGTTGTTGACTTTCATAATTTTGTAACCATAACATAGGTGTTTGATCAAACGAAGTCCGTTCTTCAACAACTTTAACACGTAAAACAGGGTCTTTTACTGTTCTAATTTCAGCATGCATACCAAATCGATCTAATAATTGAGGACGTAATTCTCCTTCTTCTGGATTACCAGAGCCAACTAAAACAAATCGAGCCGGATGACGAATTGAGATACCTTCACGTTCTACTGTATTCCAACCTGAAGCAGCAGAATCTAAAAGAATATCAACTAAATGATCATCTAATAAATTTACTTCATCTACATAAAGTAAACCTCTGTTAGCTTTTGCTAGTAATCCAGGTTCAAAAGCTTTTATCCCTTCGGTTAAAGCTTTTTTCAATATCAATTGTACCACAAACACGATCTTCAGTAGCACCTAACGGTAAATCTACCATAGGAATTTTAATAAATTCCGTTTCGATCTCTTCACCATTTTGAATTGCCATTTTAACTTCATTGCCCATTAAATCTAAGTCAGATTTATGAGAATTAAACGGGTCATTTTTTACAACTTCAATTTCTGGTAATAAATCAGTAATAGCACGGATAGTTGTAGACTTTCCCGTACCTCTATCACCCATAATCATAACACCGCCAATTTTTGGATCAATAACATTCAATTGCAAAGCTAATTTCATTTCTTCCTGACCCACAATTGCCGTAAATGGAAAAACGGGTGAATTAAATTTTTTTTTAAGTTTTCTGTTACCATAAAATTTCGTTAGATTTTGTTAAAAATTTTAAATGTATATAATTATATAGTTTGTGTTATTCGTTAAGAGTAGAACCTAAACGAACTGCTAAAATACTTGCTAATAACGCAATACATAAAGCTGTATAAACTTGAGAATCAGCGATCATAGTTATTTTTGGGAAATTAAATAAAGATATATTATTTGGTTCTAAAGATTGATTTACGTTAAGTTGTAACAAAAATATTACAGAATTATTCTTAATTCTATGTACTTATAATTGTAGATTAAAAGAATAAAAAAAGTCTCACTATTTTATTAAATTTTTACCAACTTGATTTTGTAACACCTGGTAATAAACATTGATGACCCATTTCTCTAAAAACATGTCGTGATAAACCAAAATCACGGAAAAAGCCACGAGGACGCCCTGTTTTCCAACAACGATTACGGATTCTAGTTTTTGAGCTGTTTCGTGGTAGTTTTTGTATTTTTGTATGAACTGCAAGCTTTAAAGAAAAAGTATCTGCTTGTTGGTATTGTTTTAATAATTTTGCTCGTTTTAAATGATATTTGGTATGTAATTGTAAGCGTTTTTTTTCACGCTCAATCATGCTTTTTTTTGCCATACTTTAAACAATTGAATGTTAATAAATGTAAATAATAAAGTTTTATAAATCGACAAATTGACGACTTTAATTCTATAAGTTTCATACTATTCTACCTAGTATAACAAAATAAGTAAAGATATTATATTATTTAAGATTACTAATTCAAAAAATTTATTAAAAGATTATGTAAATTTTAAGAATGCTTAGAAAGAATAAGAATCGTTTTTTAAAGTAATTAATTTTTTTTATCTTTGCTTATAATATTATATTGTCTAACTTTTATTTAGTTTAGTTGTAAGAAAGTCAAAAACCATTTTTATTATTAAGGAATGATTTACTATGGCATTACCATGGTATCGTGTTCATACAGTTGTTTTAAATGATCCTGGTCGATTAATTGCTGTTCACTTAATGCACACAGCATTAGTTGCTGGTTGGGCTGGCTCAATGGCATTATATGAACTTGCAGTTTTTGATCCATCTGATCCAGTACTAAATCCAATGTGGCGTCAAGGTATGTTTGTTATGCCTTTCATGACACGTTTAGGAATTACAGATTCTTGGGGTGGTTGGAGTATAACAGGTGAAAGTGTTTCAAATCCAGGTATTTGGAGTTTTGAAGGTGTTGCTTTATCGCATATCGTATTATCAGGTATGTGTTTCTTAGCAGCAATTTGGCACTGGGTATATTGGGATTTAGAATTATTCCGTGATCCGCGTACAGGTGAACCTGCATTAGATTTACCAAAAATCTTTGGTATTCACTTATTTTTATCAGGTTTATTATGTTTTGGTTTCGGAGCTTTCCACGTAACAGGTTTATTTGGACCTGGTATTTGGGTATCTGATGCTTATGGTATCACAGGTAAAGTTCAACCTGTAGCACCTGCATGGGGTGCTGATGGGTTTAACCCATTCAACCCTGGTGGGATTGCATCGCACCATATCGCAGCAGGTATTTTTGGTATTTTAGCAGGTATTTTCCATTTAACTGTACGTCCATCTCAAAGATTATACCGTGCTTTACGTATGGGTAATATTGAAACTGTTTTATCTAGTAGTATTTCAGCTGTATTCTTTGCTGCTTTTGTTACATCAGGTACAATGTGGTACGGTGCTGCAGCAACTCCTATTGAATTATTTGGTCCTACACGTTACCAATGGGATAGTGGTTATTTCCAACAAGAAATCGAACGTCAAGTAGAAGCATCTGTTGGTGAAGGTTTATCAGAAAGTCAAGCTTGGTCAAGAATTCCTGATAAATTAGCATTCTACGATTACATTGGTAATAACCCTGCAAAAGGTGGTTTATTCCGTGCTGGTGCTATGGATAAAGGTGATGGGATTGCTGAAGCATGGTTAGGTCATCCAATTTTCCGTGATAAAGAAGGTCGCGAATTAACAGTTCGTCGTATGCCAGCTTTCTTCGAAACATTCCCTGTTATTTTAGTAGACAAAGATGGTATTATCCGTGCAGATATTCCATTCCGTCGTGCTGAATCTAAATATAGTATTGAGCAAGTAGGTGTTAGTGTTGATTTCTATGGTGGTAAATTAAATGGTCAAACATTCAAAGATGCACCAACTGTTAAGAAATTTGCACGTAAAGCACAATTAGGTGAAGTTTTCGAATTTGATCGTACAAGTTTAGAATCTGATGGTGTATTTAGAAGTAGTCCACGTGGTTGGTACACTTTTGGTCATGCTAACTTTGCTTTATTATTCTTCTTCGGTCATTTATGGCATGGTGGTCGTACGATCTTCCGTGATGTTTTCACAGGTATTGGTGCAGAGGTTACAGAACAAGTAGAATTTGGTGTATTCCAAAAACTTGGTGATAAAACAACTAAAAAACAAGGTGCGGTTTAATCTAAATCAAATCTTTGTTTCTACCTTTTTTTAAATTTAAATAGGATTAAACAATGGAAGCTTTAGTTTACACATTTTTACTTATTGGTACATTAATAGTAATTTTCTTTGCTGTATTCTTCAGAGAAACTCCACGAATCATCAAAAAATAAAACCATTTATTATGGTTTTATTTTTAGTCTTCGTGTTCTTCAAAAGGATCTCGTAAATTTTGAGCAGCAGGACCAAAAGCAGTGTATATAGAATATGTAGTAATTCCTAGAAGTAAACTCGATACAAAAATAACAATAATAGTTGCTGTTTCCATGTTATATTATTATTTAAATTAACAGTTTAGTATTATATAACATCTGATAGAAAATTAATTTATTAAAAAATAAATATTTTTATGGCATTACGAACACGATTAGGTGAAATCTTACGCCCATTAAATGCTGAATATGGTAAAGTTGCTCCAGGTTGGGGTACAACACCAATTATGGCAGTAGTAATGGGAGCATTTTTAGTATTTTTATTAATTATTTTACAAATCTACAATTCATCATTAATTATTGAGAATGTAGATGTAGATTGGGCAAACGGACTTGTATAATTTATTAAGTTTTAGTAAGCTTAATGCAGGATATAACGAAAACTAATATAAAATATGATTGATATCTCTACAATTTAAATTGTAGAGATATCAATCAATTAAAACATAAACTAACGAATCTATGGATATTATAAGTCTAGGTTGGGCTGGTTTAATGACAATGTTTACATTTTCATTAGCACTAGTAGTATGGGCTCGAAATGGTTTCTAATACTTTAAATTCTTAAAATTTTAAATATATAATGGAATTAATTCTTAAAATCTTTCCGTATGCTAGCCCTGAAATTGTGACAGCAGCAGTTACTTGTTTCTTCATGACTTTATTTGGTCTTTCATTAGGATTTGCTTTATTAAAAGTTCAAGGTGAATAGACAAGATTTAATAATAATATAACAAATATTATTATTAAATTATTTTAACGGGACTGACGAGACTCGAACTCGCAACTTCCGCCGTGACAGGGCGGTGCTCTAACCAATTGAACTACAATCCCAAATTCTCTCTCCATTGCATAACAGACACAACCTACTGTAACAGTTTTCTATCAAATTGTCAAATAATATTTTAAGGAGAAACAGGGATTCGAACCCTGGGTACAAATAATTGTACGATAGATTAGCAATCTATTGCTTTCGACCACTCAGCCATTTCTCCAAATTTAAAAATTTGTACAATTTATAGAGTTTATAAGATTCAAAATAATAAAAAATTTTAAATTTTATCTTTAACTAATGTCAAAAAGAAGCTACAAATTATGAATTACCCTATTAAATAAATAATAATCGCATTTCAATGGCTCCGGTTGGATTTGAACCTACGACCTTGGGCTTATGAATCCCCTGCTCTAACCACTGAGCTACGGAGCCTTGCGAATTTGGGTAACTTTATAGTAATTATAACATTAGGATAATAAATTTTTATTCTTTTATTAATTATTTCAAATAAATTGTAGCATTTTATATTGAGGTAAAATTTATAGTCCTCAATATAAAGTGTTACAACTTAATCTTCAATATCATTCGAAGAAATATAAATAAAAAATAAAGCCATACTTAAAGCTGGGAAAACTATTCCAACAATAGGAACTAAAATTGATGGTAAAAAAGCAGCTGCCATAGATTACGTTAAATTTTAAAAGTTTTTAAATTAAGAATTATTAATCGCAAAAATTGCTATTATCCATTCTATACTAAAAATTACAATAATAAAACATTAATATAAATCATAAAATTAATAATTTTTAAAGTAAAATTAATAATATTAAATCGAAGATTTTTATCATTTCAAGTTTTATATATAAATAAATTTAATAATTATGGAAACTTTATTATTATCACGTTTACCAGAAGCATATATCGTTTTTAGTCCTATTGTTGATGTTTTACCTATTATTCCTGTCTTTTTCTTATTATTAGCATTTGTTTGGCAAGCTTCTATTGGTTTTAGATAATTTAAAATATATAATTTACGAAACCTGCGCTACAATATATAGTCAGTAACTTTTGTTATAATAATTTATATAAAATTCAAAAATAAATGGTTGAACCTTTATTATCTGGAATCGTTTTAGGTATGATTACCGTTTCAGCTTTTGGTCTTTTTGTAGCGGCATTTTTACAATATCGTCGTGGAAATCAATTTGAAATTTAATTTCATTAAAATTTTGTAAACTTTATAAAGTTTACAAAATTTCAAATTAACTAAAAAATTATTTGACTAATTAGAAACCTTATAGTATATATAGTGGTAATGGAAATGATAATATAGTGACTAATATATCACTTAAATTTAGCTGGTGTAGCTCAACGGTAGAGCAACGGATTTGTAATCCGTAGGTTGGGGGTTCAAATCCCTTCACCAGCTTTCAAATTATAGAATTTTTATAATACAACCAGTCCAACAATTTTTCATTTAAAATAACGTTTGTGATTTTTATTTTGGTTTTTAAAATCACCCCCGCTCTGACAATAATAATTTTTAAGTTTTGAAACATCCCAAACTTTAAAACAATAAAAAAAATATTTGAATAATTAATTTTATCTAGTTCATATGAACTAGATAAAATTAAGAGATAATTAATCAATAGGACGCATAGATAATACAGGCTCGTTTGCACGATTAATACCTTTTTCAAAACCTGCAGCAGCTGCACGAGCACGGCCTGAATGCCACCAGTGACCTACTAGGAAGAAGAATCCTAAAATGAAATGTGAACAACATAACCATGAACGAGGTGATACATAGTTAACAGAGTTAATTTCAGTCGCAACACCACCTACAGAATTTAATGATCCTAAAGGAGCATGTGTCATATATTCAGCAGCACGACGTTCTTGCCATGGTTGAATATCATTTTTAATTTTATTGATATCTAAACCATTTGGACCACGTAATGGCTCAACCCAAGGAGCACGTAAATCCCAGAAACGCATTGTTTCACCACCAAAAATGATTTCACCACTTGGTGAACGCATTAAGTATTTACCTAAACCTGTTGGACCTTGTGCAGATGATACATTAGCACCTAAACGTTGATCTCGAACTAAAAAAGTAAATGCTTGCGATTGTGAAGCTTCTGGACCTGTTGGACCATATAATTCACTAGGATAAGCTGTATTATTATACCAAGAGTATAATGATGCAGTAAAGCCCATAAGACTGATTGCTGCTAAACTGTATGATAAATAAGCTTCACCAGACCAAACAAAAGCTCGACGAGCCCATGCAAATGGCTTAGTGAAAATATGCCATAAACCACCAGTAATACATAGAACACCTACCCAGATGTGACCACCTACGATATCTTCCATATTATTTACAGATACAACCCAACCGTCACCACCAAAAGGTGAACGGAATACATAACCGAAGATTACAATTGGATTTAATGTTGGTGTTGTAATAAAACGAACATCACCACCACCTGGAGCCCAAGTATCATAAACTCCACCAAAATACATAGCTTTAATAACTAATAAGAATGACCCAATTCCTAGTAAACATAAATGGATACCTAAAATTGTTGTCATTTTATTTTTATCACGCCAGTCATAACCAAAAAATGGGAATGATTCTTCTAATGTATCTGGGCCTAATAAAGAGTGATAAATACCACCAAAACCTAAAACTGCAGATGAGATTAAATGAACTACACCTACTGCAAAATATGGTAACGTTGAAGTAATTTCACCACCAGGACCAATACCGTAACCTAAAGTAGCTAAATGGGGAATACAGATAAAACCTTGTTCATATAATGGTTTTTCCGGTACGAAATGTGAAACTTCAAATAATACCATAGCGCCTGCCCAAAATACCATTAAACCGGCATGAGCAACATGAGCACCTAATAATTTACCTGAAACATTGATTAAACGTGCATTTCCACTCCACCAAGCGAAACCTGTTGACTCAATGTCGCGACCTGCGATACTACTATTAAAGGGCGTTTCCACGTGGTAATACCTCCTCAGGGAATACAAAGTTTTCATGTGGTTGATCCTGTGCGGCCATCCAAGCACGAATACCTTCGTTTAATAAAATGTTTTTTGTGTAGAATGTTTCAAATTCAGGATCTTCAGCAGCACGTAACTCTTGTGATACGAAATCATAAGCACGTAAGTTTAATGCTAAACCAACGATACCGATAGCACTTGTCCATAAACCTGTTACAGGTACAAATAACATAAAGAAGTGTAACCAACGTTTGTTAGAAAAAGCTACACCAAAAATTTGTGACCAGAAACGGTTCGCTGTAACCATTGAATAAGTTTCTTCTGATTGAGTTGGTGTGAAAGCACGGAAAGTGTTAGCTGCATCACCATCTTCAAATAAAGTATTTTCAACAGTAGCTCCGTGAATAGCACATAATAATGCACCACCTAAAATTCCAGCAACACCCATCATATGGAACGGGTTTAATGTCCAGTTATGGAAACCTTGTAAGAATAATAAGAAACGGAAGATTGCAGCAACACCAAAACTTGGTGCGAAGAACCAACTTGCTTGACCTAAAGGGTATAATAAGAATACAGACACAAAAACAGCAATTGGACCAGAGAATGCAATTGCGTTATATGGACGAATACCTACTAAACGTGCAATTTCAAATTGACGTAAGCAGAACCCAATTAAACCAAATGAACCATGTAAAGCAATAAATGCCCAAAGGCCACCAATTTGACACCAGCGTGTAAAATCACCTTGAGCTTCAGGACCCCATAATAATAATAATGAGTGACCCATACTGTTAGCAGGTGTCGATACTGCTGCTGTTAAAAAATTACAACCTTCAAGGTAAGAACTAGCTAAACCATGAGTATACCATGATGTTACAAAAGTTGTACCTGTTAACCAACCGCCTGTAGCTAAATACGCAGTTGGGAATAATAATAAACCTGACCAACCAACGAAAACAAATCGATCTTTCTTTAACCAATCGTCAATTAGATCAAATAAGCCACGTTCTTGGTTTTGCCCAATAGCAATGGTCATATTATAAAAATCCTTTAATTAATTTAAAATTAGTGGATAAACATAGTAATTGAGTATTTTATCCAAATCTTTACAACTAGTAATTATCATTATATAGCATTTAATAATAAATTTTTTAAAATATTTTATTCTTTTTAATTTATATAGAATAGCAGATTAGTAATAATAAAATATTTTATGAATAGTTTTTGGACAAATATTCTTCGATATCCAAGATTTTTTATTAGTAGTTTAGTAGGTTTAATTTTAGTTATTCTTACACCTTTTAGGAATTTATTTAAAATACCAAAATTGCGTATATTTTTAATTATTTTGATTATTTTAATTTTTATAGGATTATATTTTATACTTATAAATATGACAGCATTATAATTAAATATTCTTGGGCCGGGTTGGATTCGAACCAACGTAACATGACGTAGCGGATTTACAATCCGCCCCCTTTAACCACTCGGGCACCGACCCTCCCAAAAATTCTATCATAATAAAATTAAAAAGACAATCTTTAAAATTATTATAAAGCTATAGAATTTTTTAATTTTATTGATATATTGACGTTTTAAAGTTTTTGGGTTACAATTAGTTAGTAAGTAGATATTATATGTATTTACTAATTATTGGGCAATTAACTCAGCGGTAGAGTGTCTGCCTTACAAGCAGAAGGCCACAGGTTCAAATCCTGTATTGCCCATAGCTAGGGCCTATCGTCTAACGGATTAGGACAGAAACCTTCTAAGTTTCCAATGTAGGTTCGATTCCTACTGGGCCTATTTCAATATTTATGTCTTTTAATAGTCTTTAAAATTTTATATGTAGTAAGCTATTTTTTGAAGGCTATCTATTATTAAAAGTTATAATTTTAATAGATAAAATTAACTAACAGTTTTAATTACAAATGGGTTGCCTGGGATTCGAACCCAGAACTATTCGGTTAAAAGCCGAGTACTCTACCATTGAGTTAGCAACCCTACACTTATTATAACACAAAGTTATATGATTATCATATTATTTGATTTAACTTTTAATAAAAATATTAGCTTTTACTGTAAATATTTTTTAATAAAAATAATATTTTTTCTTTGTTCTTTTTAAAGTAAAATTAAAAGTAACATTACGGGTTATTTTATTCTTTAAAATTTCATTAACATTTAAATTAAATAAACAAGGATCTTAAAATGATTAATTGGCAAGTTTTAGGTCAGCTAATTTCTACAGGTGTTATTATGTTATCAGGTCCAGCTATCATTGTTTTACTAGCTTTAAAAAAAGGCAATCTTTAATTCTTTTCTTAACATCAATATAAAAATTTAAAAAAAAACTTATGTTAATTACTGCTTTAGTAGCTGTGTTTGTTTTAATTTCATTAGGTTTA